TGAGTTGAGAGCACAGAGAGAGTCAAGAGCTGATTGAATGGACATGGGAAATCAGGGGTGGAAAGGAGAAGTGTGCTGTCACAGTATAGGGAGAGCAAGTAGGGTCACAAAACACGTATCTATAAATTTTTGTATGTGAGACTAATCTGAATTGTAAACTTTCACTTAAAGTACAACAATAAAAAAAAAAGTTCTGGAATTGGATAGTAGTGCTGGTTGTACTAAACGCCATTGAATTGTGCACTTATAATGGTTAAACAGTAAATTTTATGGTATGTGTATTTTATCACAATAAAAAATTAATCAGATGATATCATCCACATCCATTGGTTTCTCATTAAACTTAGGGATAATTCCAAGCTCCCTACCTCACCTGGCCCCTGTCTACCACTCCTACCTCATCATGTACCAGTTTCTGCTTTGCTCACCAGTCACAGTGGCCAACTAGCTCTTCAAACCACCATGCCTTGCTCTGCCTTAGGCCTTTAAATACACTGTGTATTCTCTCTGGAATGTTCTTCTCCAATTTCTTTGTATGAATCACTCTGCATTCTGGTCTCTGTTCATATGTCACTTCCTCAGAGACATGCTTCCAACCACCTTAGCTAAAATAGCCACACTTACCCCACCTCCCTGAATTCAATGTCTGCCCCTTTCATTGTTCACTTTATTACTCTCTGAAATTATTTTTAGTAATGATTTATTTACTAGTTTACTGTATGCCTCCCTCACTAGAATGCAAGCTCCTTGGCAACAGGTACATTATCTGTGTTGTTTACTGTGGATTCCCCACCTAGAACAGTGTCTGAGCCAGAGCAGAGCCTAAGAAACATTTATTAAATGAATAAATAAAGACAAGTTATACATGTTAAACAAGGAAAAAAAAAAGAAAAGCTTATAAAATTCTTGCAAGTTTCCTTCAGCTCAGAAATTTTGCTTAAAAAAGTCAGCTGCTGTCAAGTCAATTCCAACTTAAGGCGATCCAATGCGTGTCAGAGAAGAACTGTACTCCATAGGGTTTTCAGTGGCTGATATCTGGGAAGTTGATCGCCAGGCTTTTCTTCCGAGGTGCCTCTGGGTGAACTTGAACCACCAACCTTTTGCACCACTGTTGTTAGGTGCTGTCAAGTCGGTTCCAACTCATAGTGACCCTATGTACAACAGAACGAAATGCTACCCAGTCCTGCGCCATCCTCACAATCATTGCTATGTTTGAGGCCATTTTTGCAGCCACTGTGTCAATTCATCTCATTGTGAGTCTTCCTCTTCTTCACTGACCCTCTACTTTACCAACAATGATGTCCTTCTCCCGGGACTGATCCCTCCTGATAATATGTCCAAAGTATGTGAGATGAAGTCTTGCCATCCCTGCCTCTAAGGAGCATTCTGGCTGTACTTCTTCCAAGACAGATTTGTTCATTCTTTTGCAGTCCATGGTATTTTCAATATTCTTCGCCCACACCATAATTCAAAGGCGTCAATTCTTCTTCCATCTTCCTTATTCACTGTCCAGCTTTTGCATGCATATGAGGCAACTGAAAACACCGTGGCTTGGGTCAGGCACACCTTAGTCTTCAAATCAACGTTTTTGCTTTTTAACACTTCAGAGAGTTCTTTTGCAGTGGATTTGCTCAATGCAATATGTCGTTTGAGCTCTTGGCTACTGCTTCCATTGGTGTTGACTGTGGATCCAAGTAAAATGAAATCCTTGACAACTTCAATCTTTTCTCCATTTATCATGATGTTGCTTATTGGTCCATTTGTGAGCATTTTCGTTTTCTTTATGTTGAGGTGTAATCCATACTGAAGGCTGTAGTCTTTGATCTTCAAAGTCCTTCAAGTCCTCTTTGCTTTCAGCAAGCAAGGTTGTGTTATTTGTGTATTGCAGGGTTGTTAATTAGTCTTCCTCTAATCCTGATACTGCTGTTTAATGAATATACTAGAGAAAGTCTGTCCACTGACAAATGAGGTAATTAGGTAATAGAGTAATGCCTAACACCACTATGGTCTATCATTTCCATCACAGGTATGGGTGGTGAGAAAACCTCTGGCCCCTTGAAAGCACCTGCCTAGTCAGGGACAGATAGTGTGTCAGTGAGCTACAGGAAAACCTCTCTGTGTGACCCACACGCAGTTTTGGTGGTGGTGGTGGTAGAAGGGGTCCTTGAGATTTCAAAGTAATCCTGCCTTTGGCAGAAGTTGAAAAATAGGTTGGGTAATAAGACTGTTGCTTAGTACGGTATTGCTTTGGGTAAAGAGCAAATGGGACAGAAGACTGGTCTTTTCTCTCCTTAGTCTGTAACGTTAGACTCCTTTACCAGAGAAGAGAGTCCTCCCTGATTCTGGTAAGGTTCTAAAACAACCCCAAGAGAAATAGTAATTCTGAATAATTAAGTTTACGAGCAGCTGTGAGTTTACTCCATTAAGCATTCCAACTATTTTTCTTCTGGATGAAAATCTTCCTAGAATTTACTATATACATCTTTTACTTTTTCAGTATATTAACCACTTTCCTTTCTTCCACAGTAACAGTTTCTGAGGTAGTAAGGTGAAGTGATTAAGAATATGACATTGGAAACCAGACAGGTTGGGTTCAAAGCCTGGCTTTGTCACTCACCAGCTGGGCAAGTTAACACTCTGGCTCAGTTTCTTTATCTATAAAAGGATAAGATTAATACCTGCCTCACAGAGTTCTTGTAAGTTAATAATGTGTCAATACATGTAATGTACTTAGCACAGTGCACGCACATAGTACTGCTTGGAGAACATCAGTTGCTGCTGCTACGACTACTATTACTATCAGCTTTTATATAAAATGGTCCCAGGCTGATTTGTTGAAGTGCTCTTATATGCTGTTTTAAAGTTATTGGAAAATTATGTTTCTGGAAGATAGACGTAACAAAGGTTATACATAAATGTTAAAATTAGCAAGCCTTTAATTTAGGTAAAATAAATACTCATTAAGCTCATACTACGTGCTAGGTACTGGTGAAAAAAGTGAATTATATGGTCTGGAACCTCAAGAAACTTACAATCTAGAGGGGAAGATAAAGCATAAACAAACTATGTCAGGATGATATGGCAAGAAATATGAAAGAGTTACGCACAAGCTTACTATAGGAGCCTAAAGGAAGGGCCCTTAGCCTAAGGTAGGGGTTCAGGGAAATCTTCCTGAAAAGGACTGGGCCCGGACTGAGTCTTGAGGACTTCTTGAAGAAAGGCTGGGTGGGCTATTCCAAGCACAGAAACAGAAAGGTAATGAATGAGGAAGGAAGCACCATAGTACTTCTGTGAGAGCATGCAGGTGTTCGTATGAAGAATGAGATTTGACTTCTGATAAATAAGTGAGATGGAGAGTGGTAAGAAATGAAGCTAGCAGGTAGACTGAATAAGGGCCAAACTCAAAAGAGGGCCTTTATATCATGCAGAGAAGGTCAGACACTAATTGTTACGAGATGGGCAGCCATTAAGAAAACTTCAAGGAAAAAAATAGCAATTTTAAGATTTCATTTTAGATATATAACGCAGACAGCATTGTGAAAGTCAGAGCAAAGCTAGAAAAGGCTGGAGAAAAAGAGACCATAAGGTGGCTGTTGTAATTAATAAGCTAGAGACAGTAAGACCTGAACAAGGGCAAGGCAAGCAACTATGGTGAGGAAGAGGGGGTCCCCGATGTATTTGGAAGATAAAACTGGAAGGCCCTGGTGACTTATTGGATGGGGTGGTTCAAGACTGAGAGGAGTCTAGGATGACTGCCAGGTTTCACATCTGAGTTACTGGTTAGATGATAATATAATTAACTGAGAGAGGAAAAGAAATTTTTTTAAAAAAATTAGTTTTGTTTTTGTTTTTCACTTTTAGGGAGTAGACATGGGAAGATAAGTTAATGAGTTTAGGCTGGGACATGCTAAGTTTGAAATAATTACAGGATAGGTCAGATTGGAGATATAAATCTAACAGTGATTAACAAATGGATAGAACCACAAAAGCAGCGTGTCTGCTGCTCTTCTCTTCACACATCCAGTAGAACAAGGATGGGGTGGGATGTTGGGGAACACCAGTGTTAAAAGAGGGGCAGAGGTAGGAGGCCCTTGAAAGAAACTGAGACACTACATTGAGAGGTCCAAGGAGAGAACAGGTGCCATGATGAGTGGTCAATAAAGTAGTTAAACACACTCATAACACCTGTTAGTTTTTGGGCACTCACTACACGTCAGGCACTGTGCTATTTTATATACCATATCTCATTTAGTCTATTATCCACATGCTACAGATGAGTAATCTGAAGTTCAGAGAAGTCACGTAACTTACCCAAGGTCATAGGGTAAGCTGGCAGAACTGGGATCTGAACCCAGGTCTGCTGGATTACAAAGCCCATGATCTTAACTCTGCTGGAGTAAAAGTACTTCTTCAGGATGCAACTTAATATTATCACAATAAGGACTGCTATACATTGCTTTTCCAAGACGCATATCTTAAAAATTGCCAAATAATCTCAAAGGAATATTTAATGTTTAATGAGGTCATTATATATTTGATCACTTTACATCAAAATGGATTATTTCAGTGATATATTTCTTTATAATCTTTTTCATAAATATCACACTTGTCAAATTATGAGAACAATAAAACATAACACAAGGCAATTCACTCAAATGATTAAAGTACTGCTCCAATAAATCCAAAGGAAGGTCGTGGATGGACTAGTTAGTGTCCTTCAGAGAAAAACTAAGTGCCCTGGATGTATACATGTAAGTTGGCTTAGCTTTCTCACAAATATTACTATTGCTCCCAAGGAGAACCATAGAGAGAATGCATATTTTATCATATATTTACTACAAAAGTGGAAAAATTCATTACAATATGTATTCTGTAGAAGGTTTATTTTGGATAATAAATTATTATCCAACTAAAGGTAGAGAATAAGAAAATCACATTTCTATTGCAAAAGTTGCAATTTTCCTATTTCCCACTAGAGGAAGCAATAGCATTACTCTTACCATTTGGTGGATAAAAGACCGCATATTCTTCTAGTCCTAGTTTTCCTATAAGACAAAAACACAAAGATTTTCAAGATGCTTAAATAAAATAAATATTTAAAAATTAATTTATTTTGTGAATATGCTAATTAATAAAATTTAAAAAACAGTATAATCTCATTTCATTTCATGATATAGAATTATTTTGAAAAGATGTCAGCTATTCTTTGATAATAACAAACCCTTTTATTAATTAAAGTCAATGGTATAAACTTAAGTTTAAGGGAAGTAATGCAAAATAATAAAGCAACATGTTTTCAAGTTCCTTAAGCATTTAAGAAGCAGAAGCACCTATTTGTAAGCAAAGAATTGTTTTGTTAATTATCAATAATTCTAATCTGTTCTATGAAGCGAGTCCTATGCTTTGCAATACAGCACTCATCTGTCAGTTTCTCTTACTGTGGTGGCTTGCGTGTTGCTGGAAACTATGCCACAGGTATTTCCAATATCAGCAGGGTCACCCCTGGTGGGCAGGAATCAGTGGAGCTACCAGACTAAGACAGACTAGGAAGAAGGACCTGGCATCTACTTCTAAAAAAACTGGCCAGTGAAAACCTTATGAATAGCAGTGGAACACTGTTTGACGTAGTGCCTGAAGATGAGCCCCTCAGGTTGGAAGGCACTCAAAATACGACTGGGGAGTTGTCTCCTCGAAGTAGAAAAAACCAAAACCAAAGCTGGTGCTGTTGAGTTGATTTCCACTCATAGCAACCCTATAGGACACAGTAGAACTGCCCCACAGGGTTTCCAAGAAGCAGCTGGTGGATTCAAACTGCTGACCTTTTGGTTAGCAGCCAAACTCTTAACCCGTCAAAGTAGAGTCGACCTTAATGATGTGGATGAAGCCAAGCTTTCAGGACCTTCATTTGCTGATGTGGCACGACTCAAAGTGAGAAGAAACAGCTGCAAAAATCCATTAATAATCAGAATGTGGAATGTACGAAGTATGAATCTAGGAAAATTGGAAGTTGTCAAAAATGAAATAGAATGCTTGAAGATTGATATCCTAGGCATTAGTGACCTGAAATGGACTGGTATTGGCCATTTTGTATCAGACAATCACATGGTCTACTATGCCAGGAGTGACGAATTGAAGAGCAACGGCATTGCATACATTGTCAAAAAGAAATGTTTCAAGATCTATCCTGAGGTACAATGCGGTCAGTGATAGGATAATATCCATACAACTACAAGAAAGAACAGTTAAATAAGACTGTTGTTCAAATTTATGCACCAACCATTAATGTCAAACATGAAGAAACTGAAAATCTTTACCAACTTCTATAGTCTGAAATTGATCAAACATGCAATCAAGATGCATTGATAATTACTGGTGATTGGAATTTGAAAGTTGGAAAGAAGGATCGGTAGTTGTTAAATATGGTTTTGGTGATAGAAACAGTCAGAGATTGCATAACAGAACTTTGCAAGACCAATGACTTCTTCAATGTAAATACCTTTTCTCAATAACATAAACGGCAACTATACATGTGGACATCACCGGATGGAATACACAGGAATCAAATTGACTACATCTGTAGAAAGAGATGATGGAAAAGCTTAATATCATCAGTCAGAACAAGGCCAGGGGCTGATTACGGAACAGACCGTCAATTACTCATATGCAAGTTCACGTTGAAGCTGAAGAAAGTTAGAAAAAGTCCACGAGACCAAAGTACAACCTTGAATATATCCCACCTGAATTTAGACACCATCTCAAGAATAGATTTGATGCACTGAATACTAATGACTAAAGACCAGATGACATCAAGGAAATAATACATGAAGAAAGCAAAAGGTCATTAAAAAGACAGGAAAGAAAGAAAAGACCAAAATGGATGTCAGAAGAGACTCTGAAACTTGCTCTTGAAAGATGAGTAGCTAAGGCAAATCGAAGAAATGAAAGGAGCTGAACAAAAAATTTCAAACGGTGGCTTGAAAACACAAAGTAAAGTATTGTAATGAAATGTGCAAAGACCTAAAGATAGAAAACCAAAAGGGAAAAACACACTAGGCATTTCTCAAGCTGAAACAACTGAAGAAAAAATTCAAGCCTCGAGTTGCAATATTGAAGGGTTCTATGGGGAAAATACTGAACAACACAAGAAGCATCAAAAGAAGATGGAAAGAATACACAGAGTCACTGTACCAAAAAAAAAATTGGTTGACATTCAGCCATTTCAGGAGGTAGCATATGATCAAGAACCAGTGGTACTGAAGGAAGAAGTCCAAGCTGCACTGAAGACACTGGTGAAAAACAAGGCTCCAGGAATTGATGGAATACAAGTTGAGATGTTTCAACAAATGGATGCAATGCTGGAAGCTCTTACTCATCTATGCCAAGAAATTTGGAAGACAGCTACATGGCCAAGTGACTGGAAGAGATCCATATTTGTGCCCATTCCAAAGAAATGTGGAAATTATCAGACAATATTACTAATATCACACGCAAGTAAAATTTTGCTGAAGATAATTAAAAAATGGTTTCAGCACTACATCGATAAGGAACTGCCAAAATTCAAGCCGGATTTAGAAGAGGACATGGAAAGAGGTATCTCACTGCTGATGTCAGATGGATATTGGCTGAAAGCAGAGAATAGCAGAAAGATGTTTACCTGTGTTTTACTGACTATGCAAAGGCATTCGACTGGGTAGATCATAAGAAATTATCGATAACACTGCAAAGAATGGGAATTCCAGAACTTAAGTGTGCTCACATGGAACCTACACATAGACCAAAAGGCAATCATTCGAACAGAACAAGGGAATACTGGTGGTTTAAATTCAGGAAAGATGTACATCAGGGTTGCTGAAAGTGAAAAGGTCTTGAAGCACTTACTGATGAAGATCAAAAACTACAGCCTTCAGTATGGGTAACACCTCAACATAAAAAAAACAAAAATCCTCACAACTGGACCAGTAAGCAACATCATGATAAATGGAGAAAAGACTGAAGTTGTCAACGATTTCATTTTGCTTGAATCCACAATCAACCCCCATGAAAGTAGCAGTCGAGAAATCAAACAACGTATTGCATTGGGCAAATCTGCTGCAAAAGATCTCTTTAAAGTACTTAAAAGCAAAAATGTCACTTTGAGGACTAAAGTGTGCCTGACCTGAGCCATGGTATTTTCAATTGCCTCGTATGCATGTGAAAGCTGGACAATGAATAATGAATACCGAAGAACTGATGCATTTGAATTATGGTGTTGGTGAAGGATATCGAATATAGTATGGACTGCCAAAAGAACAAACAAATCTGTCTTGGAAGAAGCACAGCCAAAATGCTCCTTACAAGAGAGGATGGCAAGACTTCATCTCATGTACTTGGGACATATCAGGAGAGACCAGTCCCTGGAGAGGGACATCATGCTTGGTAAAGTAGAGGGTCACTGAAAAAGAGGAAGACCTTGAAAGAGATGGATTGACACAGTGGCTGCAATACTGAGTCAAACATAGCAACAACTGCGAGGATGGAGCAGGACTAGGCAGTGTTTGGTTCTGTTGTGAATGGGGTCACTAGGAGTTGGAACCAACTCAGTGGCATCTAACAACAACATGCTTTGCAATTCTTGCTAGGTTTCATTTTTATGGAATACGCTGTAAAGTTAAAAAGTAAATGTCTTTAATTGCATGATAGTCATGTTTTCCAAATTCTAAAACAGTGTATATGGTCTGAGACTGAGGCTAAATATTGAAATCAGAATTGTCCCAGAAAATTAAAATATATTCACCATAATCAAATGTTTAAAGGAGCTTCTTTTCTTCAGAAAATTTTGGTTCTGAGTTTTTCCCCACCTTCCACTAACTATCTTCAAGTAGCACTTATCTTGACAGTTTTTCTAATACCTTTTAGTCTACTGAAAAGTCACATGCACTCTTGCCATGGGCTTTGAAGTAAGATTTTTAATTAAATATTTTGTTGTTAATCTTGTTGGGGTTGGTAGCAGGGAGGAGACGAAGAGTAAGAAACATGAGCAGTTTAGGTTAGGGGAGGACAACAAAGCCTGATCTTGTGGGCAAGGAGAGAATGGAATAATCGGAGAAAGAGTACGTGCTGAGTGCTCAATGCCGGGTGCTCAATACTGGGCTAGGTGCTGAGAGGTAAATAGAAGAAACATACAATATGGTCCCTCAACCATATGGCTTATAATCCAGACATTAGGGTATGTTTACTAAATTTTCTGGCACAGGCTTTAAGTGTTTTAAAGGTTTATTGTTGCTGTTAGGTGCTGTCAAGTTGGCTCTGGCTCATAGTGACCTTATGTATAACAGAACAAAATGCTGCCCAATCCTGGGTCATCTTCACAATCACTGGTATGTCTGAATCCATTTAAAAGTTTGTAGGGGAGGGAAATTGACGATGGAATGGTGGATTTAGTGAGATTTAGGCCAGTTCTTCAAGAACCTATAATTGTGGGGTAGAGGAGAGGGCCACCTTCCATATATAGGGAATAGATGGAGGCTAGAATGAATACGGGTATTGTGGAACGATCAGGGAAACAATGTCAGCTGGCTTAAGTTAGGGCCCACTGACGGAGGGCCTTAAAAGCCTGGGCTGAGTTTAGAGTGAGCCCGTTAGATGATTAAGTTCTACAACCAGTTTTTCAGCATGAAATGAGGTTAAACAGACAAAGAAGCAAAACAAAACAAAACCATGTTTCTTTAAGTTCAATTTAGGAGCAACAGAACTGAGACAGCCCAAGTTCAGGGGAGCCCGACCTCAGTACCAGGTAATGTGGGCCTGCCCAGAGAAGAGGTTGGAGCAATCAAACAGAGCTGATACTTAGGAAATACAGCCAAAACAGTTTCTTTCCTTATGGAAACAGAAGAATGACCACACACAATAGCAGTATGAGCTTTTGGTGCTAGGTGTTCACCCCCTAATAAAAAGAAGAAGTCAGGAAGGGCTTCCAGCTAAAATTAGTTCAGTGTTCAGGTAATGGCAGGATATTGAAACAGCAAGATCTTGTAGGCAGCTAGTGATTAAAGAGGAGACCAAAAAAGCACTAAAACAGAAATTATAGAGAGCTGATAGCATATAAATTATACTAAAAGTTTTAAGTGTAGTAGAATATTTTGAAAGAGGGTAAAAACAAAAGTAGAAAAAGCAAATTCTTGTGATAAGCTAATAGTAAGAAGAAAAATAAGTCATCAGATATGACAGAAACAGCAGTAGAGGAGACAGCAAACAGGAACAACAAAAAAGCTATCTTCACAGGCTGCTTCTGGGAACCACTATTCTGTGATTTGTGATGAGGTGCCCAGGCACTGATTATTTAAGTAAAAGGATGGTTATAATCATCTAAGAGAAGTCTGATTGAGTACCTTACAATTTAAAAAACTTACAACACCAATATATGCTATAAAATAAATAAACATTCTTGGTCAGATTATGTAAATCTTAAAGAATACTTCCTTTATATTATTGAAAGTTTACCTCTTATGTATGATTTCGGTGGTGAGGCACTGTTGTATGCAAAGTGACCCAACACGGATGTATCCCGGGAAAAACAAAGTAATACCTGTGTATAATATTGGAAAAAACAAAGAAATTAAGCACAGTAATAAAACCAGATAAACCACTGCTATTTCCTGCTTAGGAGGAGTTGTGGTGGAATCTTTTGAGTTCAGTACTATGCCTTGCAATAGGAAGAGTGCTCTCTATGGGTCCACCTAGGGTAAGTGTTACAGTGGGATGCCAAGTGTGGAAGGTCCAAGTTCATTCAAAAATTTCTCACTGTTTGCCACCTACACCTTCAATAACAGAAGAAAATGCAAGTTGGTAACTACCAGTTGATCCTTGCTTGTGTTTTCTTTCTGGAAAAGAGAAATGCCTGGGAAAATTTAATAGATGAGAAATGTTTAGGGCAGACTGTAGTTAACTACAGTGGTAGAAAGCTATTTGGGGAGTAAAGAAAACTGGAATTAGACTCATTGCTGGGTTGCAACAGACAGCTGGGCATGTCAGGGTGGGAGGGCTGGCAATTCATGGTATTTAGAAGGAGCGGTACCAGCAGTAGAACAAGTGGTAGCCTAATACAGTGCAGAACCTGACCTGCAGGTAGAGTGTGGCAACTTTATCTGGAGACAAAAATAAGCAGGCAGAAAGTCAGGATTAAGGATGTTCATTAGGACAAACTGGATTACTGATACCACCTGGGATTTGGGGGCAAGAGTTCAATCCCTGGGAGGTGAATGGTGACAGGAAATCTGGGCCCTAGTGTTAGAAGACCTGGGCTTCTAAAGATGTTACCAAGAAAGGAATTCAGGAAAAACTGAAAAAAAAAAAAAAAAAAAAACCAAAAACAAAACAGAAGCCCAGGTACAGAATAGGGGCACAAAATCAGGGCTGGACTAGCAGCAAGAGTGAATGGAGAGAGGAACTGTGGGTCTAACACTTAAGAAAGGGATAGAAAAAAAGATCGGCATCAGCCAGGCCCAACAGTGACAATAAGTACGAACCATTGCCACTGATCTACTTTTCCTTATTTTTTTTTAATTGATGTAATTAAATGAGGTTTACATTTCAAGTTAGTCTCCCATACAGAATTTTTTTTTTTAACATACATTGTTATGAGACCCCAACCACTCACCCCATTCTGCGACAGCACACTTCTCCCCTCCTCCCCTCCGCCTGATTCCCCATGAACATTCAAGCAGCTCCTTACTCTCTCTGCCTTCCGCTCTAACCTCTGGACAGAAGCCGCCCCTTACTTTTCCTTATTTTTAAAATACTACATAAATAATACATATTTCTGATCAAAATTAGAAATACATACAATCAAAAAATGGAAAAACACTTACAATCCTACCAGTGTTAATATTTTGATGTATATCCTTTCAGATTTTCTTCTACACATATAAAAATGGGTATATTTAAAATTTTTAAACAAAATAGGATTATGCATAGTATTCTAAAACCTTTTGTATCTCAATATTATAAAATGAATATTTCCTACCCACATTTTTTATGTTGCAGAATATTCCACTACATGGATGAACAATAATTTATTTAACCAGTTTCTTGTTGTTGAACTTTTATTTCCAGTTTTCCTCAATTCTAAACAATGCTGCAATGAACTTTCTTATAGCTAAATCTTTATGTATAATTAAATTCCTAGAACTGGACTAGCTGTCTGGTCAAAAGTTATGAGCATTTTAAATTTAAAACTTTCAATACACATTACCAAATTGCCCTCCGGAAAGGAAAGTTTTTTTTTTTTTTTTAAACATACTCATTAGTAAAACAATGCACATTTTTCTCTTACTCTTATTAAAACTGGTTATTATCATCTGACAGGTAAAAAATGGTATCTTACTTTGATCTGCAATGCTTTAATTACTAATGAGGTTGAATACTTTTCCATTTGCATTTCTCTTGTGATTTTCCAGTTCATCTTAGTGCAGTTTAAAATTTATGTTTTTAGGATTATTGATTTAATTTTTTGTATACTGAGGCTTGTAAACTTTGGTCTAATTACATGAAACCTGTGAGAGCCGGGAACTCAGCTGGACTGTCTTCTTTTCTGGGTCTCTCAAGTTTTCTGCCTTTGCAGGGTGCAGTCTTACCACTTTTCTATCGCTTTGTATTAGTGGAAAATATTTGTTTTCCTTCTCTGACAGGTGTCCATCTGACACAGGTTCTACCTTTGCAGATTTTACTGTATATGTTGCAATGGTATTGCTCAGTTTGTTGTTTGCAATTTTAATTTTTAAACCTTTTTGTGGTGAAAATATACTTAAAATATATGCGATCTCAACAATTTCTACATGTACAATTCAGTAACATTGATTACATTCTTCAAGTAGTGCAACCATTCAGCTATCCTTTTCCAAATCAATCCACCACCATTAATATAATCCCAAAGCCCCTAAGCAAAAACTGTGCCTCCTGCCACACACTCCTTGCAACCACTGATAACCTTTGGTTTCTATATAGTTGCTTATTTCATATAAGTGAGATCACAGGATATTTGTCTTTCTGCAACAAACTTATTTCATTCAACATGATGTTTTCAAGGTTCATCCATGTAGTGGCATGTAGATTTTATTTTTCATTATGGCAGGGTAGTATTCCGTTATGTGTATATATCACATTTTGTTTATCCATTCATTTGCTGATGGACATTTCGGTTGTTTCCAACTTTTGGCGATTTTAATTATTGTTGATGCAGAGATGCTTTTAAGTTTTTTCTTATTGTACTTTAAGTGAAAGTTTACAATTCAGATTAGTCTCTCATACAAAAATTTATACACACATTGTTATGTGACCCTAGTTGCTCTCCCTATACTGTGACAGCACACTCCTCCCTTCCACCCCAGATATCCTGTGTCCAACCAGCTCCTGACCCTCTCTGCCTTCTCATCTTGCCTCCAGACAGGAGCTGCCCATTTAGTCTAATGTATCTACTTGAGCTAAGTCCTGTAGTCCAGTCTAATCTTTGTCTGAAGAGTTGGCCTCCGAAATGGTTTTGGTTTTCGGCTAACAGAGAGTCTGGGGGCCAAGTCTTCCAGGGTCCCTCCAGTCTCAGTCAAACCATTAAGTCTGGTCTTTTTACTAGGATTTGAGTTCTGCACCCCACTTTTCTCCTGCTCTGTTGTGTTTCCTGTCAGGGTGGTCATTGGTGGTAGCCGGGCACCATCTAGTTCTTCTGGTCTCAGGCTGATGCAGTCTCTGGTTTATGCGGCCCTTTCTATCTCTTGGGCTAATATTTTCCTTGTGACTTTGGTGCTCTTCATTCTCCTTTGCTCTAAAAGGGTTGGGACCAATTGATGCATCTTAGATGGCTGCTCACTAGCTTTTAAGACCCCAGATACCACTCACCAAAGTGGGATGCAGAACATTTTCTTAAAAAACTTTTTATGCCAATTGACCAAGATGTCCCCTGAAAGCATGGTCCACAGAACCCCGCCTCTGCTACTCTGTTCCTCGAAGTGTTTGATCATATTCAGGAAACTTCTTAGCTTTGGTTTAGTCCAGTTGTGCTGACTTCTGTAGTATGTGCTATCCTTCCCTTCACCTAAGATGACTCTTGTCTGCCATCTAGTTAGTGAATAACCCTCTCCCTCCCTACCCACCCTCGTAACCATCAAAGGATGTTCTGTGTTTAAACCTTTTCCTGAGTTCTTATAATAGTGGACTTACATGATATTTGTCCTTTTGTGACTGACTAAATTCACTCAGCATAAATAATGCCTTCCAGCTTCCTCCACGTTATAAGATGTTTCACGGCTTCATTGTTGTTCTTTATTGTTGCGTAATATTCCATTGTGTGAATACATCATAATTCGTTTATCCATTCGTCCATTGATGGGCACCTAGGTTGTTTCTATCTTTTTGCTATTGTGAACAGTACTGTAGTGAACGTGGGTATGCATATATCTATTCATGTGATGGCTCTTAATTCTCTAGGATATATTCCAAGGAGTGGGGTTGCTGGATCGTACGGTGCTTCTATTTCTAGCTTTTTAAGGAAGCACCAAATTTCCAAAGTGGTTGTACCATTTTACATTCCCACCAACAGTGTATAAGTGTTCCAGTCTCTCCACAACCTCCCCAAAATCTATTATTTTGTGTTTTTTGGATTAATGCTAGCCTTGTTTGGGTGAGATGGTATCTGACTGTAGTTTTGATTTGCCATTTCTCTACTGGCTGATGATCCTGAGTGTTTCCTCATGTGTCTGTTAGCTGCCTGAATGTCTTCTTTGGTGAACTGCCTGTTCATATCCTTTGCCCATTTTTTAACTGGGTTGTCTTTTTGTTGTTGATGTTTTGCAGTATCTTGTAGATTTTAGAGATTAGATGCTGATTGAATTTGTCGTAGCCAAAATTTTTTTCCCAGTCTGTAGGTTGTCTTTTTACTCTTTTAGTGAAGTCTTTTGATGAGTATTAAGTGTTCAGACTTTCAGGAGCTCCCAGTTATCTAGTTTCTCTTCTGGTGTTTGTGCATTGTTACTTATGGTTTGTATTCTATTTTTGCCATGTATTAGGGCTCCTAGCATTGTCCCTATTTTTTCTTTTAGTATCGTCTTCTATTTTATATTTAGGTCTTTGTCCATTTTGAGTTAGTTTTTGTGCATGGTGTGAGGTATGGGTCTTCTTTCAGTTTTTTGCAGATGGATATCCAGCTATGCCAGCACCAGTTGTTAAAGAGACTTGTCTTTTCCCCAATTAATGGACTTTGGGCCTTTGTCAAATATCAGCTGCTCATAGGTGGATCAATTTATGTCTGGATTCTCAATTCTATTCCATTGGTCTGTGTATCTGTTGTTGTATCAGTACTAGGCTGTTTTGACTATTGTGGCAGTATAACAGGTTCTAAAATCAGGTAGTGTGAGGCCTCCCACTTTCTTTTTCTTGAGTAATGCTTTACTTATCCGGGGCCTCTTCCCTTTCCATATGAAGTTGTTGATTTGTTTCTCCATTTCATTAAAAAATGCCATTGAAATCTGGATCAGGATTGTATTGTATCTACAGATCAGTTTGGGTAGAAATGACATTTTCACAATGTTGAGTCTTCCT